GAATACCGAATATGCTATATTTAGCGGAAAGGTTAATGGGGGTGACCGCTGAGGCTGCAATTTTCAGCAAACAGGCAGGAAGAGTCAACCGTAGAAACGCCGCTAATGTTCTGCAACCGTACCGAACTGAGGCAACGTTCAGTCGAACTGAGGTTTGCAGAAGACCCGTCATATTCTGATCATTTTTATCTCGTAAATCCGCAATTGATTGGACAAATCTTCGCGTGTTTGTATGCAGGCAACTTAATACATGATACTAAATCTTTCGTCCCAAAACACAATAACAGCGTCTCAGTATTTGAGAGCTGATATCAACTAAATGACGGGATCAGGTTATCAGAGATGCACTGAGGTTAGAGTCATCCGGCTATAGCCGTGAACGGTAGGGTGCTGATGGTCATGAAGGCTAACAGCCAGTGCAACCTAGAAGACTAAATAGCTGGAAACGCAGAAGACTGTAAGGCAAACGAAGGGAACGCTAAATGCAATGGTTGCAAGAACAAGGAGCCTCAAGTGTCGAACCTCGGTCAACTCAGTGAAGCGATGGATGTCTACTATACTTTCAAGTCGACAGCAATGAATGGACTCCGTGGAGCAAAGGAACCCCGGCCCGTTCAGTAGTTGCTCAAGGCCAAGCACCGCCGCGTGCTCGTACAAAGCGAAGATCGCAAGCACGCAGCCAGAAGCAAAGGGCAGAAAGTGATTAGCGACGGATGAGACCGTGATCCACGTATTTTCCGGCTGCGAAATGCTCTCGAATCGACAATAGAAGGAAAGGCACGTCAACGCTGCAACGATCGTTCACTGGCATTTGTGCAAGCATCAGCGAAAGGCGGTGAAAATACTCTTCGACTTCTGAATACGAAACAAAAAAGGAAATATCAGCTCATCGCGTGGATACTACGTTGGTAGACACAGCGAAACGGCGGGCACCAATCATTGAAAATACAGTATGTCCGGCTGACGGCAACGCTGTTGTTAAAGGGAGAGAGAAGTTAGTGAAAGATGAAGAATTGTGAATGGAAACGCAAAAGAACTGGAGAATAGAGGTCGAAGTCATTCGTGTGATTACCCGCGTCTTCAGAGCAGTGAAGCGAGACCATCAGCGCCTACGAAAGTCGACTAATAAAGCGATGAACGCGGATGAACCGCAGAAAACGACGCTGCTACGGGCTTCCAGGATTTTCGGGCGAGTACCATTGCTGCCTAACCCGCCGTAGGGGTTTCGAACTGAAGTGATGTTCACCAATCATGTTATTTCACTTCAGTCAGTTCATGGAATGTGACGACAATAAAAAAGATTTATATCTAACGGCTTTTACTATCATTTAACTTTTTCAAACACATGGCTCAGGTCTTGTGTGGATTTTTATCAGCCATCAGATGAGCCGCACATCTCGCACACTCTGTCCTGATCAAATCCGAGTTTTGCGCTGTTCACTGATTTCTTGGCCGACTGCAGCGAATTATAGTAAAGCAATTTCATTGTTCAGAGGAATTGCCATTTCATCAGAAGATCACTCGTTAAAGTGCAAGTGAAAACTGCGAGTTCGACAGCCTGACCACTCTTCATGGCCGAGCAGTTTAAAGACAGCATGCCGCTTATGATTCGTTGACGAACACGTAGCACATCCAGTGAAAAAACAAGCGTTTTGCGTTCTCCACACTTATTGCCCGAGGGTAGCAATTCCGTTATTTCTATAGGCGTGACCAGCAGGCGATTCGTCTCTGTCTTTGCAGTTGCTTTGGTTGCAGGGTTTGAAATGCCACTCTGATTGATGTATCGTTCGGGTCATCAAGCAACAGTCGAAGCGAACGAATTTTCTGAATCAAACAAGGTTAGGTTCGTTCTTTGGTACGCCGAACGCCTCGACACTGGCTCGTTCGTTTATTTCGTCGTCGCTATGACGTACGGTAATGCAAATGCTGCCGCCATCCGAGGCAGGTAATCATTTAGAAGTCGCATAGTCAGGGGACACTGACAGAAACGGTTGAAAGCATGACGTCGCTTCGTGAAGCCGGTTTCTGGCCGAAGCAGGCACCTTGGCAAACGTAGAACTAGATGTCAACGAGGATGGCGGTGCTAAACTGTAGAAGTTGTCATTTGGCAACTGAAATGTTCCGCCGTCCCACTGAATTTGATCAAACACCTTTGCCGGGCAGTCGACCGACTTGCGCTTGCAGTAGAGCATAGTTTTCCGTTTCTTAACTTCCTGCATTATGGTGTTGCAGGCCTAAACAACCAACCCATGCGGAAAGCGTGAGATTTATTCAACCGTCGCGCATTATGCTAACCATAGGTAAGCGGTTCACTGATTAATCGAAAAACGACTTTCATGGCTGACATCCTCTCGATATACCCGGTGTGTGCCCCTTTGCGAGTTATTAAGAGTTAATCGGTGGCAAACTGGTGGAGCAAATTTGTGGTTATTTTTTAAGCTAGACGATATTCAGTGCATTCAGCATAGAATCCACTTTCGGCATAGCATAGGGCCATCGTTGAGATCAAAGATGCTTTGTTTCCGTGCCAAAGAAACCCTTTGGAATTTTTTCCTGATTTTCGGCACCTGCTACCTCATTGAGACGAGCGCTGGTTCGTACATAGTGTCGTCTATACAAAGCATCGAGAGGCAGTTCCGCATTAAAAGTGGCCTGTCAGGTGCTTTGTCGTCCGTCAGCGAAATCGGCTATGTCCTGACGGTGGTCATTTTGGCTCATGCTGGTAGCAAAGGAAATCGTGCGCGATGGATCGGCGGCGGTTGCTTGCTCATCTCCATCGCGTGCCTCATAGTGGCCAGCCCTCAGATCTTCTATCTTAGCCATCAAATTGACATAAATATGACCAGCATCGCCGGCGAAATAAAAAGCTTTTATACGCCTAACGAGAGCAAATTCAACCTACCTTCGAAGCTACTGGGTCACCCGTTTATTCTACCGTACCTGCAACCGACAGCTAAGCAAAAGTGGATAAAAATGACTAACTTATCTGCGATTAACGAACGACACATGGTCGAGTCTTTGGCCAGTCCTCTGCCGATCCAACTGTACGAAGAGGACTCGGTGACCCCCGCAGCTTGGCTAACTGATTCGCAACATGCGACAGACACCGTTGACGATCCAGACTTAAGGTTCATGGCTCATTTGATCAAAGGCTTCGTGCCGGTAAGAAGGAACCGCAAGTTGTACGTCGCCTTGAAAACCTACCTGCTGACGTCGGCGTCGAAAAACGAAAGCGACAGAGACACGTACCGTTCGTTAGCTCAAAAGATAACCGAGTACGTCGAGGACTACTTCTCACCGAATATGGTCGACCAGCTGAGGTTCGTAACTCAGTTGCCGTTCTCGTTGTGCAACAAGGCATTGACCGAGATCAGGCAGGTGTTCGCGGAACACGGCTGCCACAGATCCGATGGCGAGAAAGGAGCCATCTTGCTCGTGCTGGTTGGCATGGCGCTTGTTGGCGTCGGACACAGCATGCCGTGGACGCTGGGCATCC